AAAAGCCTATGAAAAAATTACCAGGGGCATCTCATGGGGCCCCCTACTGACCCCCCGGGCCCTCGGGCAGCGCCCGAGTTTCCAAATGGTCAGTCCGCCCCTGTCTGATAATATATGAATTGTTACGCTGATGGTCTTGTATTAGTGAACCGCTGCATAGTTACAAATCCTTTTATGGAAATTAGAAGAGTAGGAATGTACCACAACAAGCAAATGCAGGCTTCCCAAATATTTAATTGCTTTCTCTGTGTTTTGTTTAGTGGTGTGTTGTGTACATGCAGGCCTTTGATAAAAATGAACAGTTAATAAAAATTTCAAGTTTAATCGATGGAGCATCTTAGAAATTACCTGTAATATAGAAACAGGGCCTTAGATTAAAGTGTATACAAAGGCTAAACTTTTTTTTGTAGTTTTGAATATACTGGGGAAGAGTTAGATAGCAATCCGTACCTAATAAAGGGTTCTCACTGGTTATATTTACCCCTCTGTGGTCTGTGATATACACACAGGGTCATTGATTAAACTGGATATAAAGGCAAACCTTTTTTTTTTAGTTTATGGATAGAGTGGGGAAACATTAGACAGCAATGAAAACTTGATTAAGGATATTCGCTGGAGATATTTACCCCATTGTCATAAATAAATCCACATTTTTATAAATTCTACAATTTTAGAGTTGTAGCAGAGGTGATTGTTATTTAGGCAATAGGGAAACTATTCCAGTGATAATTTACAGGAGATTTTGTATCATTTTCAGATTTACTTCAATTTTCTGTTGTGTCTTCAGGACAGGAAGTGAAAGACAATCTAAGGGGATAATGTACAGCAAAAATAGGCATACTCCAACAAAACTTTTAACAGTTTTGGCTGTAAATACACTTTAAAAACAGAGAAGGTAAATTGATGAATAAGTATTCATGTATTCCTTTTACATTATAATGCAGGGTTTGTCAACCAGGGTTCCATGAAACCCGAGGATTCTTCCAGAGGTTTCTCGGGGTTCCTTGAGCAATGAGCCACTGCTGCCTCTCAAATAAGTTCCCAATGACACCAATTATCTTTTTATTTATCTGTTAGGGGATAATACTTCCCATTGTTCACAAGTGAAAGGATTATTCCCACTTACCATCACACTAATGTATCATGAGTTGTAGATTTAGTAATACTCAGCAGAGGTTTCCTGACAACAGCAAGTTATTTCAAGGGTTTCTCTGTGTACAAAAAGGTTAACAAAGACTATTAAACTTAATTAATGAATGGCGTGTTAAACAAGGCCATTTAATAAGGTAAAGAAAAACAATAGTAACAATAAAATTGTCATTTTCCTGCATAAATTGTGGGTGCTATATAAATACCTGCAATAATAATAGTAATAATAATAATACATGCAAAGAAAAACCTTAGTATGCGGTCATATTTTTCTGTGTTTTTTTTCACACATTTTTATACCTTCTATTGAGATAATTAGGGTCTGTCAAGCTGTAGCATTTAGACCATCACCAAACTTTTCCTTTATTCTAGTAAAATTTTTTACTATTACAGGTCACATACGGCAACTGATGTTTTACAAGTGAGCTCAGCAATAAACATTGTCCCTTAACCATCCATTCAAAAAATGTGTGCTGTTAGGTTGAAATACCTGCAACTTCAACCGTGCATTTTTATTTCCCCCTTGATATAAAGTTTATAGCAGTTTTGTCCAAGACCAGATATTTTGTATTATTAGAAATTATACCTACTTACTGTTAACAGTTGCAGAGCTGAGCTTCTTAAATGTTACAGATGTCTTCTCTAAAGGATACGTACAAGCAGCATGATCTTCCTTGCAGCTAGTTGCAATCAATACTTCTACTAAAACTTATCCCATAAACCTATCACAGCTCACTCTGTATATTTATCTAGGACATTTCGAAGTGTCAGCCTAGCCTTTTACTGGAATGCACACTATATATATCTGTCAAGAGCTCTACTGCAATCAGTAAATTTTCCTAGCAGAACTGCGTTGGTAAAACAGATATTATTCTATATACTATTATTAAATTGACTTTGTTTCTTGTGGTACTTTAATCTACTGCTTCAACTGCTACAAAGAATGTTGTCTTTTCAGTTTTTTATAAATCATCTTACTAAGTACAAATTTTATGTCCATGTCAAGCAACTGTTATGCAGTACCACGAAGCAGCTATCCACAGTTGCTTTCAAGCATGGGGAAGCTGAGATGATTGGCTGTAAAATATTCGACCACACTGGGGTTTTTTTTGCATTGTTAATGAAGAAAACCTAGAGTGACATAATACAGGTAGAGTCATTGCTGACTGATCCTATACTGAAAATGCTATTTCATTACTTTTGACACTGACTCAGAACAGTTTCTACCACTAACATGGACATTCACACGCTAAATATCCTGGCATTGATTGATGTGTTACTCTATTAGATACTGTTTTCAGCACTAACGCCCTCATGAAGGGAAATAATTTAGCTGCCTTTTTTCTTTTGGTCACTCATGGTATCAAATAAATACTTTTGGGCTCTGAGAAACATTTGTTTGTTGAGCCTTCTGGCTCAATTATTCATAGATTATTCAACATGGGTGACATCTGTGTCTTGGGAGAGGCCCCTGTTTCTTGGAGTGCTGTCAAACCTAAGCCATTGAATTGAACCAAGGGCTTCTATTTGTATAATTTGGAGATGCATGCCCAGTGTCTCCCTTTTTAGCTTTCCTTCAAAATGTGCCTTGATACAGGCTTCTAATGATAAGCTGCAGCATTCTCTAATGTGTGTCACTTTCAAGCACAAAGTAGAAGCAACTTTCAGACAAGAGTATTCGGTGTTCATACCAATGATATTTGTTTTTTCCCAGGTATTAATTAGATGCATTGCATTTGTACATAGTTATCAGCAAAAAAAAAATAAAATATTGGGTGATGTGGGGTACTTTTAATCACCAATGATGAAGGAATAGAAATCAATGTATCTGTAGTGTTCATAACTCAAAAAATGCCATGTTTGGGAAATGTTGGGACTGACTAATCTGAAGGGTCTGTTTATTTTTATATAGTCCTAACCCTTCACAGAGAGGCCACTCACACATTAAAAGCTATACAAACCAAATAAATATATGTTTTAACACATGTTAAAGTGACCCTTTGAATTGAAATAATAATTACAACTTTTACTGTTGTACTTTGAAAATTAAAACATGGCATCCAGACCCTTTTCATATTATATCACAGTAAAATTATTTTATATATAACATATGTAGCTCTCTACCCTTATAAGCAGAATGTTCACAGTCTTTGCATGCACATAGCACCACTTTATTATATAATGGCCCCACTTTGTGCTCATCCTCTGCTTTGTGGAAAGAGCTGGGATTCTAAAGTCAACCAGAAGCAAACCATTTAGAGTAATTCAAGTCCAGGAGAAGTATGAAAGAAATCTTGAAAATATCCAACAACAGCACAATTCTTAACTAAAGGTCTTGAAATTTGAAGTAGTCTACATTCAATTCAGTAAATGCAGTGGCATGTAACATGATTTGCTAACACATACAAATAGTTTTATACAATATGTGTCCTCCAGGAATATAGCACTGAAAAAAGTGTTTGAACGCACAGGTCAGGTGTAGTGGATTCCCTAACTGTCTACAACACTCATTCTCCTGCATTATCCACTTAAGAAAGCTGGCTCTTCTGTTAAACATCACAGAATGAGGATTCTGTAGTGTTGACGCGTAGATCCTGTAACATTGTGTCTGGTTAGGAATCATGGTGCTATGGAATACTTTCAGGACTCTTGTTCTCAGTCTGGGCACGAGGAATTGCAGTGTAGTTGTAACTAGACGTGCATTTTGCTACAAATCAAAATTTGGACAAAATTTGCGTTATTCAGAAAGTCAGATGTATCTAAATCTCTGAATACCAATAGTAATCAATTTCAACACCTCTGTGACCAAGCCCCCTGGTAGGTGGGGCAAAACATGTAAGGGGCATGGCTACAGCAGCGCTGCCCCAGGTCATACACAGCCATATCCACATCTGAAGCACTAGGTTGGTTTTGAGCGGCATCTTACCCCAAGTTGACGCAATAGCATAACAAATCCGAAATCTTCCAAAATACCTTTCGAAAATACAAATTGAGTCGGAACTATATGAAATGAATCCAAATATACTAAACAAATTCCTAAATTGAATCATTCAAATCTAACAAATATGATGGAACGAAATGATTGACTTAACAAATAAATCTGACATGAAACTAAACACATTTTTTTATTCACTCTAGTTTTGATCGTAAAAGATTGCATTATTAATTTAAACTTGTGATTTGATTACATTTGGCTTGTAAGACCTTCTCAGAGCCTATAGTGAAGGATATAGACTAAATCTCTAGTTCTTGGTCAACTACATTAAACTATGTTAAACTCTGGTTTAATATAACTTTGTTTTTTAATTATTGTGGTGGCTTGGGTGGAATTTTGGGGTATTGACAGTGTGTCCTTTTCACTTGAGAAGTTATTTTATTGTACATACATAAACATTGTTTGCAATAAGAGAAAATAATGAGGGTCTCGGTTCTCATTGAAATTATAGGCTATTTTTTCCATTTATGGCTAGCTGTTGCTACAAGTAATACTTTTTTCCACTGTTGTGTAAGCTCTAACTGTACTCTCAGCTCCCTGCTATTTTCTAACTTGCCTAGAGTTGTGAAAGGGAGATGCAAGTTGGTTGCCATTAGCTTTCTTTCATGTCCTAAGGAACTAAGAGTTGGGGACCTCTGCTTTATTTATTAGAGATTTACCTGTGAATTACGTGCTCCTCCACCAGGTGGAGGTTCAAGCTGAGATTAGTATGTTTTGTCATTTTTTTTTTCTTCTGGTAAAAACATTGTCATTTTTTTGTTTTATTTTCTTTAAGTGTTCTGTACAGTTTTATTATTTGCAGTTTTCTGTTGTGGTTTTATCAACTTTGTCCCTCTCCTTTTCCTTGACTTGTTAGTCTGATCCAACTTCCTCTACCTCATCTGATGATTATCAATATGTTATGGAAGCTAAACTACAAGAAATGGTCTCCATACGTAGGAAGGTAGTCCTACTGGACTTTACTTTCTATTGCTGAATAGAATCCATCTGACTTTATTTTCATTTTACTGTTCTTTTATTTTTATGTTATGCCTTGATTATTGATAATCAACCATTTTGCAATTTAGTGCTTCAGGGCTTATGATTTATGATAGTAGGTTTGTGTTCAAACCATGCACAGTTGCATGTTACATTTGGCTGATTTCACTGCTCATAGGTACTACTAATATATCGCTAGTGCTTGGATGTAGCAGGCCTCTGTAGCTGACACATTTCAAGCAATGCTGTCCAGCTGCCTGCTTCAGTACTATTTCTTTTTCTAGAGTAAGTCTGCAGTTAGTAGTAGCTTGCTTTTGTCTTGTTATACCTTACTTGCTGACCGTGCCCAGTTCCCAGATATTCACTTTTTAGATCAATTCCTTGTATTTTTTTGCAGGCAGAGGAGAGGCATGGAAACATTGAGGAACGGATGAGACATTTGGAGACACAGCTTGAAGAAAAGAACCAAGAGCTGCAGAGGGTATGTAAAGTATAATATGTTTTATAATGCATGCTAAGATTAGTAGATGTAAAAAAGTGGATTTACAGGTGCTCGGCGCTTTCTATGAAAAAAATCTTGATAGCTAGATAGTAAGAACCAATGCAATGAGTATCTACTGTGATCCTGGGTAGCAAAGGGTCATGTTTTCCAGGCTGCAGCTTTGCTAAAGGTGGCATCATGAATGAATGCTATTGTTCAAACTCAAAGGACAAGGACTTACAGCAGATTGGTTTAGTTTCAGCCTGACATTAAAGTCCAAACCTAGCTAAAATATTTTTAGATCTGGCAATCAAAACTTGGCAGATGCTTTCCTTGTCCAAAACAGAGTAAAGAGCATTGGCTGAAACTGGGCTCTAAAGTGTTTGTTTGTTAAAAAAAAAAAAAAAAATAAATAAATAATAAAACCTTTTTATTTTTAAATAGAGTAGAGAAAAGTCAAAACCCCTTAACAGTTTGTTGTTTTTTTTTTTGTTCTGGTTCTGTTTCTGTCTCTGTGCCATTGTGAACAGTTATCTTCCTGTTCCTGAGAGGTGAGAGGAATTCTTCCCTTACTCCTGGTTCACATAGGTGCGGCCGTGCAGCCATGATTTGCTCAGGCACAATTTGAATGGACTCCCGTGACCAGGGACACACAGGGAAGAAGTTCCTGCACTCTCGAGGTTCCCAGGATGGTTGCGATTTCCAGAGCGGGCGGTGTGCCATTAGAACTAATAGTACCCGCCTGCGGATCCCACATTCCTCTGTGTGGGTGGTGCGGCTGCAGGTATTTGTGCGGGTCCCACAGCGGCACCACCCGCACAGCTGTGAACCAAGCCTTAGACAGATGTCACAGGAACAGCTGTCCCCATTAAAGATTTCCCCTCACTTCTTGTTCTGTTGACAACTCAATCCCTCAATTTTTCTACTGTGACAGTGGTCTTTAGCTTGAATAAAAAGGATAAATCTCCATAGTGACAAGTGAAACCAGACAGGGAGACTTATTTTCAGTTTTGTATGATGGTTCCTAGTAATGTCCTTTTATAATTTTTGAAATAGAATCAGAGGGCAAGAGACTGCAGAGATGTAGAGATATGCTCTGAAAATTATAAATAAATTGCTGCGCTAAAATGTCAAAACTCAGAATCTGTCACAACCATAAGTAATAACATAAATGTAGAAATTAATAGTCCCAGTATTATGAGCCATATAGTAGATCACCACGTGTCTTCGATATAATTAGTGCTCCACCACCAGAAAATGGTAGGACTCTTACTAGAACATGGGGAACCTTATAAAAGACTCACAAACGCAAAATAATATCCACCGAATCCCTCAGAATTGGAAGATGTTATATCATGGTACTGGATGGAAGTATCACCTTCAATTCCTCCGCATTCTTAATCTCACGATAATAGCTCTCAGTATGGCCACGCAAAGAAAGACAAAGAGGCGACCATCACATAAAGCCATAAAACACATTTATTATCATAAAGTATTGTACTCACATTCAGGTGGGAAATTCAGCACTGTGTACAGAGTATTCTCCTTTCCTGGGAACAGGTACACTTGGTGGTTTTAGAGAGCAGCGTTTATACGTCAGATGCACAAGCTCCGCCCGATGCTTTTCATCACATATGATGTTGTTTGGGCATGGAAAACTATGTGCAACCATCACCGCGAGCCCCCTTAATTAAATTATTGAAATTAAAAATGGCCGCCGCTATGCTCTGAAAAGGCTAAGAAATCCAGTGGAACCAAGTTATCTAAAATGTAACATGCACAATTGAATTATTTCATTTATGTGTTTACATGTTTTTGAATGGAATTCATGATTTGGTGAAATAAGTGAAAAACATGCTTTTTATGATTTAAAGTTATTAGTACTGGGTTATGATGACCTTTAGAAATTTAATTAAATTCCAACATATTTGTTCACTTCAAATATTTGGGTGACATTCATCAATTTTGTTGCAGAACATGGCAATGCTAAACAGGAGTCCAGTATGAGAAAGATCTACAATAGGGTTGCATCTTGGTTCATAAATTCTTCCCTCCTCTGATCTAAATTAGCTCTATAAAAAATCTTCCCCTGATTGCTTCATAATTGTATGTCTGTTTTCAGTGAATATCTGTCTTAATTACAGTACTCAATCTGCCTTTTCAAAATTGTCTAGAGCTGGTTTCCCAAGATGTGCATCTACGTTTGTTGCTAATTTGCTTTACAAATGTCCCTACTTAAATTTGAAAGCCCAACTTTAACCAAACATTTTCTTTGCTTTTGGACAGAGAAGGGAAGGATCAGGGCCTCTTTTGGGATGGTTTTCCCTCACTTCCTGTCCTGACAGGAAGTGAGGGGAAAACCCTGTAACAGAGACACCAACAAAATCAAAACTCACTTTTTTATAAAGTAAGTAAGCGCATAACTTCTTACCAGATTTTTTTTTATTTTGGTCCTTGACTTTCTGTCCCTGTGACAACCACAATATCAATTTCTTGTATGTGCATTAGAGGCACGGGATCTGAAAGAAATGTCCCTGTAACAGAGACACCAACAACATCAAACTCATTTTTTTAATCACTTCCCATCCAGCCCATGTATATAAACAGCCAGACGGGAGCAGTGCAGGGGCGGGTGGCCATTTATAAACGTCCTCCCTGCTACCTGCTTGTACGCGCTCCCTGGGAGCGTCCAGCACTGCGATCCGGTGCCCGCTGTGTGAGGTCCCGATCATGTGATCACTGATTGGCCAATCAGTGATCACATGAAGAGTAGTAAACAAGATGTCACTTCTGACATCATTGCTTAGTACATGTGAAATCTGTGAATGATCACATGGTACCAGGCTATTCACAACAGCCTTGTACCATGTGACAAGCTGTGACCAATCACATATCACACAGTATTTCTTAATGGCTGCAAGAATGCAGCCAGAGAGAAGGATAAATTATTGCTTTTTACAGCCTTTATGGGTGTAAAAGCAATCAGTGTAAAGAAAAAAAAAAATCTTCATCACCCCCCACAAGTAGTACAGTGTCACTATGGTGACATTGTACTGCTAGGGTGACAGTACGTTGAAAAAAAAAAAACAAAACATAAATAATAATATAAAAAAATAAAATAAACATTTTTGAAAATTTTTTGAAAAATTATAATTTTTGGTTTATAAACTAATTTGGGTTATTTTTTTTTTTTACTAAAAAGATAACTGAATACATTTTGGCCAAGATTTATGAAGAAAGATTATTTATTAGCAAAACACTTTTTTCCAAAATTTTTGGACTTTTTCATTTATATAGCAAAAAAAAAAAATCCCAGTGGTGAATAAATACCATCAAAATAAAGTTTTATCTGTCTCAAAAAAATGCTAAAAAAGTCATATGGGTGCAGTGTTGCATGACCGCGCAATTGTCATCCAAAGTGTGATAGCACTGAAAGCTGAAAATTGGCCTGGACAGGAAGAGGGTAAAAGTGTCCGAACTTGAAGTGGTTAATGTAAGGAAGGGGATAACTTCAGTTGAGGTTTTTTTTTTAATTTTATTTTGACCCGTGTCTTTTTGTCCCTGTAACAACCACAATATCAATTTCTTCGTATGTGCTTCTGAGACACAGGAAGCGAAAGAAATTTTCTTCAGTTAGGTCATAAATAAAAGCCTTGCATATACTGTATCTGAACTCTTTTTACTGTATGCTTTAGTATTGCTCCTGTAGACTGTACACAGTGGAGAAATAAGGAAGGTAAGTATAGGAGTCTGTGGTGGTTTGGATTAAAGTGCACCTGTTGCCCACTGTAAGCAAAAGCACAGAATCACTATAGAGTCAGTCATTTGTTTTTTTATAGTTATAGAATGATATGTTACTTCTTCTCCATGTGAAGTTTCTCCTTTAGCCAGGTCATAGTATACTGTAGCTATTGTGGTAGTTTTTGGTCACATTTACCTGGATTTGTTCTGTAGTATTTAAAATGTTTTGCCCGTCTCCTAAGTACCGGCCTCTGTTTTTATTGTTATAAACATACCACAGCATTTATAATAAATCAGTAACCTTAATCCAATCACCATGAAATGTGTCATGGGAGATGTTAATTGTCCAAAAATATGATGAGAGCTGTGAACGTTTGTGAAAGTACTCTATTCCATTTACAGAATTCTTCTCTATAAATGAATCAGTTCTGCAAATAATTAACAATACATGTGCCTGCAGAAAACTTTCCTAAGTGAACTGCTTCCCAACCGCCCTATAGCAGAAATACTGCTAAATGGCGGCACAAGTGCACAAAATCGCGTATATATATATATACGTGATTTTGTATTTCCGGGGGAAGGAGGCGTGTGCAAGCCACACACGTGCCCTACCCATGCTGCCATTAGTGGCCGCGGCTGTCAATCACCGGGTCCCGGACGGTGATTATTCCCCTGGTGCCTGGTGATTACGCAGGATCCCTGATGGGGAGGAGGACTGTTTTGTTTCATTACAGTGAAGCACACAGACACGGCCCCCTAGTAAAACACTATCTGCGTACAGTTAACCCTTTGATCGCCTCTCATGTTAACCCCTTCCTGCCCAGTGCCATTAGTACAGTGTCAGTGCTTTTTTTTTAGCACTGATCACTGTATTGTTGTCACTGGGGATGTCAGTGACACCAAGTCAGTTCCCCCCAGTGTCAGAATGTCTGCCACAGTCCAGCTATAAGTCGCTGTTTGCTGCCATTACTAGTAAAAATAATTAAAAAAAAAATTCCAGTATCTATACCGCCATTTGTAAATGCTATAACTTACATGTAAACCAATTAGTTTACAAGTATTGGGATTTTTTTTTAGCAAATACATGTCGCAGAATACATTTTGGCCTAAATTTATGGCGAAATTAGATTTTTTACATTTTTTTTACTGGACATGTTTAATAGCAAAAAGTCAAAAATATTGTTTTTTTCTCAAAATTGTCGGTCTTTTTTTTTATAGCACAAAAAATACAAAACGCACAGGTGATCAAATATCACAAAGGAAGCTCAATTTGTGGGAAAAAAAGGGAAAATTTTCAATTGGGTGGAGCGTTGCATGAGTAACGCAGCACCCTAACGCAAAAATTGGCCTGGTCAGGAAGGGGGGTAAATCCTTAGGAGGGCAAGTGGTTAAGTCAATAAAAAATGACAAAGGGGGAGATTTACTAAAAATGGTGCACTCAGAATCTGGTGCATCTGTGCATAGGTTCCAACTTCAGCTTGCTCAATTAAGCTTTCACAATAAAACCTGGAAGCTTATTGGTTTCTATGCAGAGCTGCACCAGATTTTGCACTATGCAGTTTTAGTAAATAACCCCCAACATTTTTTTCTGATAGTGGATTGTGGTAAGAAAAAAAAGACACAAAGTTAACCAGTTGACTTTTGCCTTTCATTTTATATCCAAAAAAGGGTATAATTTCTAGTATGCGATTAACATTTTGATTTAGCCTTAGCTTGTAGTTTTTTCAAGAGTTACTGGGTTACTGAGTTATAGGGCAGCACAGTGGCTAACTGGTTAGCACTTCTGACTTACAACACTGGGGTACCCCATTTGAATCCTGGTCAGCACACTATCTGAATGGAGTGCCCTTGTATATTCTGTTTTTATGTGGGTTTTCTCCAGGTACTCTGGTTTCCTTTCACACTCCAAAGACATGCTGGTAGGTTATTTGGCTTCATTTCAAATTGCCCCTAGTATGTGTTTACATGTACAATATCTATGCATGTGAAATAGGGACCATTGAGGGCCCTTCTTGAGGACAGATAGAGATGTCAATGTACAGTATGTAAAGTGCTGCAAAAATGACTGGTGCTATTTAAATATCTATAATAAATAAATAGCAATGTTATAGGTGAAGTGTACAACGATGATCAATCACAGTGCATAGCAATCAGGTCATCCCAAAGGCCATATATAGAAAAAAAAAATAGATTGCTGCACATAAAAATAACTTTTAATATAGAAAAATCACCATACAAAAGAGTGATCAAAAATGGACAAAGCCGTACATGATAGTGTTCAACAGTTGTTGAACACTGCTATATATGCCTTTTTTCCATTTTTGATGACTCTTTTGTATGGTGATTTTTCTATATTAAAAGTTATTTTTATGTGCAGCAATCCATGTTTCTTTTTTCTATAATAAATCTCTATATCTATCCATTCAGTCGTATCCAACCCAGGGGCAGAGTGACAATTTGGAAACTCGGGCACTGCCCGAGGGCCCGGGGTCAGTAGGGGGCCCCATGAGATGCCCCTGGTACCTTTTTCATAGGCTTTTTTTGAGTTTGGGCAAGGACACAGGGGCCCCATGATCCCCTATTGCCTGGGGGCCCCATGAGTTGTCAGTCTGCCCCTAATTCGACCCTTGGCGATTGCATGGACCATCACTCGTAAGCGACTTTTTCCATGAATTCTCTTAGCAATTATTTTACAGGGTAGGATGCCAGGTCTTTTCCCAACCCCTACCATGCAGAAAATCCTGCGTGGCTAGTGATGAAACTAGGACAATTTAGACAGGAGCCAATTAACCTACTAGCATGTCTTTGGAAAGTGAGAGGAAACCAGAGTACCCAGAGGAAACCCACACGAACACAGGGAGAACATGCAAACTCCATGCAGGAGTCACCATGGTTGGGAATTGAACCCATAACCCAATTGCTGCAAGGCAGAAGTGCTAACCACAAAGCCACTGTGCCACCCTCTATAATAAATAAATAGATACAATTTGGGGCACTAAATGCCTTTCACACAAGGATTGCCGAACAAATGTTGCCTGCATTGTACAAATGGAAGAATTTACTTTGACCATTCAAACGATTTTGTGATATTCAGTTTCATCTTTTAGGTAAAACACTTTTTGGCAGTTCATTCTTAATAATCATTGGTGTTCTGTTTCTTGCTTTTCATAGGGTGATTTTTCACTTTCTCTCACATTGCTTCATGCTGAAAGCCGCAGTTTTCAAAGTGTTGGAAAGAGCTGTGAAGTTACCTGTAATGCAGGAACATTTGTAGATAACTTAAAAAGAGTTCTTATGCTTTATGGTTTTAAACGTCACAATGCGGCCGTTATGCAAGCATGCAATGCAAGCATCAGTGTGTGTCCAGTTGCACTAAAAATTAGTTTTTAAAAACAAAAGCTAGGGAGGTAAAGATTCTTAAAGTATTACTAAACCCAGGACTACATTCACTATATCTGGTCTCCCACAGTACACAGAACATTATTTGCAATTATTTTAGAAAATATAAAATGCTAAATACCTTGTGACTTCTATCAGTGTTCAGCAGAGCACATATTAAAGCTCCTGCTCTAGGAGAATGTAAAACCCCTGACCTCTGTCTGGACAGTGCTGATTGGCCCTGTGCTGATCATGTGCACTTTCAAGAAAAAAAAAACTCTCTAGCAATGCACACTAAACTGAGCATGTGCAGAACGGCTACGGTTCAGTCTGTCTTATCAGGAGATAAGACATGGGCATTTGAACAAGAGGAGGAGCAGAGAAGTCAGGATCAAACAGCCTTTTTACGCAATGCAGAGGATTAACCCCTTAGGTTCCACAGTGAGTATAAAAAGCATGCTTTACTGCATATACAGACTGATTTTACTGTTGTGGGTTTAGTAACACTTTAAATTATTTCTAAATTTATCCTGGGTGAGATGTCTATCTGATGATGAGATGTATCTCAGATATGCATACCTGCAATGGTCTATAAAAAGGGTCCCACCCTCTCTGCTAATATTGAAATTAGTTTAGGGTGTGTGCTGACCCTTTAGAGTCACCAATTTTGTAAAGTTTACATACCTATTATAGGGCAGCAACATTTGCTGATTGCTT